AGGTAAGTTGCTATCAGAGGCAGCTCACTCACTTCTTTAAAATACACAGTCTTCACCATCAGGCCAAGGTTCCTCAGCTGTCATGGGAACAGTTAGTGATACCTTCCATTGCCCTGCGCGTGGGTCTCCTATATAGATTTTAGGGTTGGGGGACGTTTAGAGGGATATCTCAGGTCAAGAGTACATATTATAATAGTTCCCCTTTGATAGGTCTGGTGTGTCTAGAATCCCCCAAACGCTGGGAAAAAAACACTTGTGCGTTTTTTAATGATTCCTGTAATCAATTAATACTATTAAAAATAATCGTTTGGCAGTTCCGGGGTTTGACGACATCATCAGACAAAGTTGGAGTCTGCCTTACATCGCTTTGGCCCTCCCTCCATCCCCTAACACTGTCTCCATTGCCTTCCAGGCCCAAGACCAAAATGGATTGTTTCCTTCAGGGTTACAGCTTTAGGAAGGGGGTGACTGCTTACGCCGACAAACCAAAGTGTGGGTGCGTTCCGGTTGACGGAGGCACTTCGGGACGGAACTGAGATCGGTGGATAATTGTAAAACGGGCGGGAGTGCCGGCACCATGCATTGGTAAGGGGAAACATTGGATCAATTTCATATACGAAGACCATGTCCCAGCTAGGATTGTGTTTATCAAATCATTCAGAAACGTCCTGTTGAACATTATGGAACTTGTTCGGGAGTCTCCTCGTGTTCGGGGTGTGCCGCTGGTTGAAAGCCATGTGGTTGACAGAAAGTGACGTCTAGTGAGGGGACGTGCAGAGACTTCTATTTCCTCCGCATCTTTCTCCCGTATCTCAAAACAAATTCAGATATATTGACTATGAAAATCAATGGAATGATTCAGTATTTACATTTCTATCACAGATTGCTGGTCAAACATTTATTTTTCATCTTTTGTCTTTTACATTTCGTGATGACACAGCAAGGCAAACCACGGAGGAATGTGGATGAGGAGTGGGGGGGGGGGGTAGCTGGCTCATCAGCATTAACACCCCAAACGGGTCGTTTTGAGCTGTTTTATGCAGGCTGAAGAGGGTGCTGTTAATAAGGATACTTGTGGTATTTTGTATTTTTTTGACATTACATTCAGACCACATAGAACCATATGAACTTGTGGTAAAAGGACATAATATGTCTGCTTTAAAGTGGTGAATTTCTGAAAGCCAAAAACATTGTTTTTAGATACAGCCTAGTTGAGTCTGTCAAGTTGTTTTTCGGTCGATAATCCCAGATATGTACTAAATTCGACCTTCATCTCACAGAATCCCTTTTTTCATTTGGAAGGCAGTGAGCACTACTGCTCAAACACACTTGTTTTTAAATATTCAAATCACTTCTTGGTTTTGGCCTGCGAATGGAATTACATTACAGGTCATTTAGCAACTTACATAACACTTTAAACCCATGGCTTTTACATTTTAGTCCGGGGAGCAATTAGGGGTTAGGTGTCTTGCTCAGGGACACTTCAACTTGAGACATGGGGCAGCCGGGACTCAAACCACCAACCTTGCGGTTCCCAGCACACCCGCTCTACCCCCTGCGCCACGACGACCACCTCGAGTGATTGCGTGACTTTAAAGGCCATCGGCTCACAGGTATTTTCCTTCACATGTCATGAATGAACTCCTGTTAATACAACCCTTTGCAGCATGATTTATCCCCGCTCCTCACAAGGCAGCAAGACAAGGTACCAATGTATGCTTTGGGTTATCTACTTTCACATGACTGTTGCTCTCAAAGGAAGTAATGTCATCCCACATATTCAAGGGTTATGAGACTTATTTTCATCATGTTGGCCTAAAGGTCAAGCAAGACAACGCTGTAGTCTAAACCAGTGGTCCCAAACCGGTTCATTGTGTGAGTAATGGTCAGCAGTGGGCTCTCCTGGCTGGAGATGCAATAAAACAGCCTTTATTTCAATGTGTAGTTCCTGACTTAATACTACTGCATTGTCTTTTGATAAGTGATTTTATTTTTTAAAGCCTATTTTGACAGACTATCAGTGAATGATTGTCTAATTTACGGGTCTTGGTGTTCATTTTGGGAAGGTACTCTTTTCTTCTGAAACCAGAGGAACCGAACTATGCAAGAATACAGAGAATCTGAGGAAATTCATAGTTTTAGCTTTTTACCATGACAGCATTGCCTCTTTATTCTGCTCCAGACTGTGGCACATGTCAGACTTGTCTTTCCTCCATTCATTTACATTTGCCTCTCTGACTGTCTAGTGGCCTTTCTTTTTAGCACCCGGCTCTGTTTCAGCACCTGGAGCTGTCCGTCACAACCGATTGGGTTATTGAACGTGATTCTAAAGCAAGCTAACTTTAACACGACATTGACTTGTGCCGTATTGGTACGTGTTCCTCATTTGCTTGTATTTCGATGTGTTTGCATGTGTTTCCCTGATTTGCATGCGAGTTGAGCCCTCAGGGCCAACATATTAACTGTGACATTTGGAACAACTTTAAGAGGGAAACGGTAGAAACATAAATTGACGGGAAACACAATTCAACACAAGAACTACAGTGACAGAAAGAAGATTAGTTAAGGGAAACTAATGCTAATGCTAGTTAGCATCCTTGCACACTTAATTTCATTGAAAAGCAACGCAGGCTGACTGAACGTGTTGTGTTAACATTGTGTTGTGGAATGGTTGTTCCCTCCTTCTGACAGACCAGTGGCTCGTGCAGCGCTGTTGTTCCTTTGCTTCCCGCTACTACTCGTTCGCCCGACTACTACGCGACCCCCCCGTGGACCGGTCCTCAGGGGGGGAACCAGGAGCTCGCGAGCCGGCAAAGTGTGGGCGCCGCTGCTTTGTCGGCGCGGAGCAGAACGTTGCCCTCGTGACTGGCAAGTTATGTCCTGGTATTTTAGTCTTAACAGTGGTAAACGTTGCAAATCTTTTTTTAACAGAAATTCAAACGTAAAGCAAACAGGCCAAGCATTAACAAATGTTCTGATATCGATGCTGAAGGGGGGGAGAGAAAAGCAGCATGTCCTTTTCAGCTTGTTTTAGATGTAATGTTTAAGCTAGTTTTGAATTTAAGGGTTTTAACTGGTTTTGGCTTTAAGGGTTTTAGCTAGTTTCAATGTGAATGAACCAGTTTGGGCTTTCAGGGTTTGAGTTAGTTTGGGTTTTAAGGTATAAAGCTAGTTTTGGATGTAATGTTTAACAGTAAAAAAAAGGAAAAGCTAGCAAGTTAAAAAATACAATTTTTCCATATTTGAACTGCAATAACATTATTTGTATTAATAATTCCAGACAAAGACTAACATACATGTGTTAACGACCGATATAACTACTATGATACTGAGAATAAAATATTTTACTGTAAAAATGTCTCCAAAATAAAAGTCCTTTTATTTTCAGAAATCTCTAAATTTGTACCATTAACATGTTTCATTTACTGTTTACTCAGTTAGGTCCTGTACACACATACTTTAATCGTTGTCCTGAACCTTTGATTAAATAGCTTTTATTCCATTTTGTGACATGTTTAATGCTGCATATGTCATGTAGCATATAGGTGCACTTAATATCAAGTGCATGCTGAGTTGGCCGCAGTTTTTGTATTTCGGGGCTTGGGCTAGTTTAGGCTTCAAGCTAGTATTGGCTTTAAGGGTTTAAACTGATATTAAAACACATGTATTTAAATGAGTTTAGCAGAACAAAAAAAAAAGCAGTGCAGAGTTTTCTGCAGCCATTTTAACATCAGCCTGGTTCACTGTAATACATTTTCAGCAGAGGGAACCCTTTCCCATCCAGTCAGCTTGGTTCTGCTGTATCATTGCGAGAGACCTTTGGTTCCATGCTGATACATGAGTGAGTATCATAATGCTACTTAAACATTGATTTAAAACTAATGTTCCTAATTTGTGATGAGTCCTCAAATTACTGGTGTTTCCTTATTCAGGCACATTCTCCCCTTTTGTTTATTTGTTTATGGGTGTGGGGTAAATTCATCTTGCTTGATTGGCATTAACATAGTCAACTAAGAATTTGAAATTGCTCATACTAAATGCCCCGAAGGCATCTGTGTCCCAACCCACCAGAGTACTTATGCCTTCCTCCATTGCCTGGCAGCATTGTTGGAGAGAGCGGCAGGGCTTGTTGGTTCTGTAAAATACCGCTGTATGCCATTTGATTTGTTTACTGTTCTCATAAACACGTATACCAGATATGAGGAGCACGGCTCTTATAGGCCTGTGTCTGTGTGAATGTTTTTGTAGATATATACATTTTTGTGAGAATGAGAGTCTGCCCTCGCTGGTGGAAAATCAATGAATTAGCACCTCATTTCCGGTAAGAAATGCACCTAATTTATCTCATTGTGATGATGTCTTCAGGAATGAAATTAGCATTCTGTGTGATTGCACATCTGGGTAAATTTGGAAATCATGATTGTTATTTCCATTATCATCCACTCGAGAGTGTGCAGAATGTCACCCTGTTTATGGTTCGAACATGATGATGTAAATAGTGTCTCATGCTTGGGAGCGGGGCATCACTAGTGCTCATCACTGAACACATGGTCGCAACTAGCCTGTTTCAATACTCATTCATCTTCTGCGCTCTTAATTCTGGTGCTCAGCCAGCCCTGAAGCCTGGAATGGGGGGGGGAACAAGTGTTAATCAAGGCAGCGATCAGCCAGAGACTTCCTTTTCCTTTGCATCCTGCATCTTTCTCGGCTCTCTGGATGATCCCAGGCCACGTAACGTGCAGTCAACCGGCTCATTTTCGCCTTTTTAAAGCCACAAATTTTCTCCACAAAGTCTCTCCCATTTGAAATTAATGCACTGCACATGTTCCACATGGCTCACTATCACCCCCCCATGCCCGTCCCTCCTCCCTTCTCTCTCCTCCCTCCATCTCTACCCGGGGCCCGTGGGAAGAACTGACTCTCGGAGCAGACAGTCTGCAGCCCTGAATAAATGTATAAGAGGGAGAAGGGGAAGGGAGGGCAGAGAGAGAGAGAGCGTAATGAGTGTTGGAAGAGGACATACATGCACAATGTACAGAGGGCGAGAGATACACAGATAGAGGGAGAAAGAAACACAGCGACAGGAGGAAACCAGTTCAGATTGTAGGACTGAGACAGGAGAGAGAGCATTTAAGCTCCCTTCAATTGTCTCCCTCGCCTCCCAGCACAAACACATGCTCATACACACTCCCACCCTCTCTCCCTGACTCTCAAAAACACACACACACACACAAGCACGATTGCTTTAGGGTATACCAGTCGGCTTTGGCAGTCTTCTCCTTTGTTGTTTTGCTTTTGGTTAGTCTCGGCGGCGGCGCGGCGTGTGCCTGTATCGCCGGGTGGGTGCGTGTGCATATGTGTGTGTGCGGAGTCTGCGAGGCGGGCGTGTGAAGGATGCCAGTAGCCGGGTAAGTCAGTTTCTTTCCTTCTTTCATTCCCTCCTCTCTCTGCCTCCCCTGTTCTCTCTCTCTTTGTGCGTTTCTTTTCTCCCCTGCCTCCTCTCTGATGTGCACTCTCTCCATCTTGCTCGGGATGCTCGCCTCCCTCCACATACCGTGCACACCCTCTATCTCTCTATTGCTCTCTCTCTGCCTCAGTGTCTTTCTGCGTTAAAGCGTCTCCTCCCGACTGTGCTCTCGCCATCCCTGCTTCCCTCGCCCGTTTCCTCCACGCTCTCTCTCTCTCTTTCTCTCCCCCTCTCCCTCCTGCTCTCTCTCTCTCTCTCTCTCTCTCCAGGCTGCGCCTCATTGGTGTGTCCTGATTCCCCTTTTCCATTAGGCTCCCGGCCCATTGGTCGCCTGCCTTCCAACCATTATCTCCACTCCTCCACCCCTCTGTCATCCTTTCTCCCTATCGCTCTTCCTCCTTCCCTCATTCCCAGTCATCTCTCAAGTCGTAAAAATGATTTGCATGCAGGAGGAGAGCAGAAGTTTACAGTGAATACACTAAGTGAATTGGGAGAGAAGTGGAGGAAAGGCTGGAGGAAGGAGAGGGAGCGCATTCTGGAGAGCGTGAGGGAAAGTTTAAAGCGAAGACTGCAGTTGGTAGGTAACTTTGACTTGTTTAGTACATCTTATGCCTTTGCTTTGGTTTATGATATAATGTACCCCGACTATCTAGCAATGAAAATATTTGAGTGGTGTGATGGAATATTTCGGATCAACAAATTGTAATTCTTAACTGGACACAGTTTGTGTTGTAGTCTATTTTTGCTAGTTGTTTAGATGGGTAAAGTCATGTGATGCCGTGTTACTGGTGCAGTGACTTAAGTAAGAAAAAGTACTGGTGGGCTGCGGTGATTTGGTTGCTTTATTTTTACCAGTCGAGTTGCTCTGGTGGGTCTAATATTGTGTACATGGCACGTCGCTTTTACCTTTGTTAATGGCTATTGGAAAGGAACAAGGGCTTCCCTCTTGAATGCAGTGTGATTTCATGAAGAAGCGTGCAGAAGTATCGGTTAAATGTGGGCACTCATTTAAAATTCATGCTATAAGTTTTGTGTTCCGGCTGTAAATAATGCTGCACTGAAAACTTCCTTTGCGTTGGGGAACGGGATGGTCTTCTGCAGCAGTTTTCATCAATATGTATTTGTTTGGCAGGTCAATCAAACAGTGTATTGTTGTTATTATTAAAAAAAATGAAATACAGGTTGAAATGGTTTTATTTGCTGTGGTTGTTCCTGAAGGGCTTCAGTCTGGTGAAATGAGTCTCTCGTGGAGAGCGATGTGTTGTGTTTGTGTCAGTCGGAGGTCCAGGGGGTGGCGAGGACACCGAGGCGCTGTGACTGCCAGAAAACAATTAGGAGTAGAGGAGGTGGAGACCGAGAAGAGTAACTCGGGGAGGGAAAACAGGGGATTTGAAGTGGGAAGAGCGCTCTACTTCCCAACTTTAAATACAGTAAACCCTCTGATGGAGTTGCATGCATATAAACAAAAGCACACACACACACGTGCAAGAGTCACACGATGTATATTTCATCTAACTCACAGTATTTCTTGTGATTTAAATGTCAGAAAAAGACAGATGTCCCTGCTGGTGCTCTCGTGGGTGACAGAGCAGGTGCGCTGCGATGTCTTTCATCCCGTCAAGACAAACGTTACGATTCAAAGTGATCTGCTTGTGTCCCCTCTCCCTTTCCCAAAGTGTGTCAGAAATGAGTGTTTTTCATGTCAACAAATAAGAGAGACAATGTTTCAGCGAATCCAGGGATATTTGAGGGGTTGTAACATAGAAATGATCCCGGCATGGTCGGAGTGTGCACCTTGTAGTCGTAGATTTGTTTGGAGATGGCAGTTTGTGTCACTTTATTGAAGCACTTATGGAAGTTGTGCTCTTTGGGAGGTTCCTATCGCTGCAAGAGGAAGGAAACATCTGGCCGGCGTTGGTGTGTGCCAGTGTGTCTGTGCGCGTGCGTGCCACCGTGGTGCCTGATGTGCTTTGCTGAGCGAGGACAGGGAGACAGCTGAATGTGATTAAATTATAGAGGGAAAGCACGCTAGCCAGCTCAGGCTGCGACCAACATTGCGGGAACCCCCCCCCCCCTCCTTCTCATCTTTTCTCTGTGCCGCTTGGTTCTCTCTTGGTGTCAAAGTGAAAGAAGCCCCTCGTAATTATAACAGTCTAGTCAGAGCTGGAGGGGGAAGCAATATGGAAATGTACTGTAATGTGTGACAGAATATGCTATTCTCAGAGTCTCTGTGTTTAAGTATTTTTTATGATTATTGTGTCTAAATGTGGTATTTCAACGTGACAAAAAATCTGCGAGGTGGTGGCGGAGGGGGGGGCTTTACTCCAGCCTTGCATGAGAGATGCTCTATGTCCCATATTCCTCCTCCTGCCAAAATCCTCCTGGGGACCCCCTGCATGCAGTTGGCAGGGGTGTGTGTGAGCGTGTGCACGCGCGTGTGTGTGTGGGGGGGGGTAATATTAGCCTCCATATTGAATGGGGGGATCACACATCAACACAATCAAGCGCTGTTCTCGGCATGACTCTGCTTTCAGACCGTGTGCTCGACTGCAGTGGCCGCTACTGCAAGCACACTCACTGATGTACACGCTGTGCATTGACATAACAAATGTTAAAAACATACCTGCATATATGGATCTATATATGAATACAACATCAACGCCCCCCGCCCCCCTACCCAACTGGCATCTTGCCCTTTTTTTTTAATGTTCACAATCATCTACCGATCTGTGCGCACGGAGGAGTTCCGTCCCAATGAGCACAAACAGACACGTGCACGCACACGTGAGCACGTTGTTAGGGGAATCATTGAATCCATGTCACGATGCCGGTAAACTCTTTTTTTTTTTTAAGTCTTGCATGCGGTAGGATCAGGAATTTGAAAAACAAGCATCTACTGACCCTCATGTGAATCGGGAGTATGAATGTCAATCCAGGGAGAAAAGTTGTTCACATGAGAAATGGATATATACGGTTAATGCAACAATTATACATTGCAAAAACAATGCGTTGTAAATTGTATTTCACCAACTTTGCACAACTATTTGTGCCGGTCAGTCAACATACCAGCGCCTGGTGCACTGGGTGCAGCGCCCAGCAGTCCGTGCTGCCTCCAACTCCACAAGAGGAGCGTACCTCCCCTCCCCGTGCAGACCGGCCCGTGTCTCTGCTGTGAAGGCTTCACAAGCCGGCCCTCTAACATAACCGACCCCCAACGCCAGGCTGTGGCACACTTACACAATGTATCTTCCTGACACCACGGACGCTGTCTGCTCCCTCTGCTTATGATGAATCATAGCACACAAACACACAAAAAAACAATTGTAGCAGCAGCTGGGGTTGTTTTTCATTTTCTCTCAGACATTAATTCCTCTTCTGTACATTTTCTCTCTTCTAAGTTGTACAAAGGCCAGATGTGTCAGCCTGCGGTTGCGTCTTGAACCTGTATCCTTGTGTTTTTGTGGGAAGATACCACAGGGAATCAATGTGTCCCTCCAATCAGCCTCCATGACGTGGTCAGTCGAGGGCGGAGAGGGAATTGATCTATTTGAGCAGACACAACGTCAATACGGACGTCTACTAAGTGAAAGATGTAGCTGCTCTTGTGTCCTTCACACATGCATCCCTGCTCACTTGCTGCTACAGGCTGCTCATTATGGCACATTCATCACTGATTTTCTTTTATTTTTTCGGCAGCTTAGCTTTAGCTGTTTTCCTTTTGCAAAAACTGAATTTGAAGACTGAAATGTCAGTCTGGACAGGGACCAGGTGAAACAAGGCAAAATTCCAATACAGATTAACGCCACAAGACTACTTCACAACCAGGGGGATGGGGTTAAGATGTAGTTTAAAGAGCTGCCAGTTTCATTCTCATATGTAGAAGGAAGTGCTTGTATAATTACTTAGATAATTGGTAGCTGTCATGTCACCACAGAATTTTTTTACACCGGCAAAAGCAGTAATATTGCCTGTGACAGGTGACCACCCGGACCTTGTTCTTCATCCTTCTTGTTAGATAGGCGTATAGAGACAATCTCAGTGTGGGTATCCCTCCTGAGAGCGCGGGTGCCCCCCCCCCACACGCACACACATACACACACACACACACACACACACACTTTCGTGCCTTTCCTCAGGGAAAACATGATCTATCTCCTGGCGGGCAGGCCAATTAAAAACCAATCAGCCTGCTTGGAGCGCGCTGGTAATGGGAAAGCCTCGGCAATGGAGGAAGTGGGGCTGATTAATGGACATTTTCACCTTGTGGCATAACAGCCTCCCACAGGCATCCATCACCTCTTGGGACAGCGCTCACTTACACCTCGGGCCCCGCACCTATCTACCACGATCAGACACGCTGTAGAGGTAGCAAACGTCCGAGCACAAGATGATGAGCTCAGAGTGCCACATTAGATCTTCGTAGCTGTATATTACGCTGCCTCACCTGGAGCTCACTGGGATCATTTACTGTAAGGTGCCACCCTGCCTCATGGGGATTTCGTTGTTACACATTAGATATGGTGGTCACTACTCTTTGAATCCTCCCAATGGTTAGTAGCTAAACCTCTGCCCAAGCAGGCTTTGAAGTTAGTGTTTGGAGGCTATGTTTGCTTTCGTCAGGTGAAAGCCGGATTTCCACTGGGTGCAGACACGTTTACAGTAGGGTGGAGACTTGTTAAGGTGAAGGGTAGAGTACGTCGATCTGTGTCTTTCCCTCAGGTGCCATTGTGAGGGAGCGAGCATTCAAAGAAAGTATTAAACGGTGCTAGCCAGGTTCGTTCCATTTCAGGAGTTGCCGTGACCTACTTCACACAGCCAGCCAGCTAGCTGTAAATAAGGGTTTTCATGACCTGGTTTGGCCCATTCCCAGGACCGCTACGAAGAGCATAGGAGCAACTGGAGGGAGCGCCGCTCCAACATGATCAGCCCTGACCTTGAGAC